AAAAAAAAAAAAACATTTGTTAACTAACCCATAATTTCATAAAGAAATGTGCACAAGTGGATTATTCATTGCAGTAAAGCCAGAAACAAACAAAACTCTTCATTAGCACTTTTCATATATTATATATACATTTCACTGTATACAGCGGCTTGTCTGGTTACTGTTGAAGAGTTCATTACTATCACCAGTAAAAGCAAGAGGAGGAGGGAGAATGGTGTGGGACTGAACCCAGTGCGAAGCCGTTTGTTGCTGTGTTGAAGCACTACTCAGTAAACACCAGCTTACAGTTTGTAACAGTCGAACCAAGATGGTGATCCAGACAACAGATAAACCATAAAACAATCATGTGTAAAACAAAAGATGGGGGAAAAAAAGTACAAACAAAACAAGAAAAAAGAAAAAAGAGGAGATCTAGAGATTCTCTGCAAGTTTAATTTCCTCCATTAGGTTACAGAGTTTCAAGGCATTCTTCTTCTCCATTAATTGCAGCGAAAAGAAATAATGACACAGCTCCTTGTGAACTACGTAGAAATTCGATTATGTTTTCAGGAATCTGTTCTTATGTAAAAAGAATTTTTTCCAGTAATAATAATTATGTCAATTGCTAAGTTGTGTATTTTGTCCTTCATAAATATTAAAAAGAGAAATAGTCAAATGTAGGAATTAACCAGTAATGCAAATCTTCCCGAAAGGCACTAGCAGATTTACATTCATAATATAAATGTTCTGTTGTTTCAATCTGTTCATCCATAAATGAGCAATTTTTATGATCTAGACCAAATTGACACCTTAAAAATTCTCCGGAAAGATTAAATTTTAAAGTGGACTTCCTTCACCTGTTAGTTCAACGTATCCCACAGCCTGTAGATACTGTAGACCAGATCTATAAAGCCTCAGTGATATGTTTCCATCCTCTAAAAGCCAATAGCGCACAATATTTTCCATACAAATCATTTTCAGAAATTAGTAAAAAAAAAAAAAAAAAAAGGCTTCACGTGTGTAATTAACAATTTAACACGAATTGGGTTTCCCCTTGTGTGTGTTCGCCATAAGACATTTTTATTGTATCGCGATGTTGACATACACGGCTTTTATTTTGAAAGACATTTTACTTCCGTATACATTTACAACCCGGTCTCTGCTGTTCGTAGCGAGTGTGCTTACATCTCTGCCGAGTTTTAAGGTGGGTTTAAGCGCCTGGTTTTGAATTAAAGTTAAAGGCTGATCTCTAAACACCTGCTTACTGCTTTATTATCATGTTAACTTTTTGTTTATTTGGAAGTATATTTGATTAAAAAAAGTTTACACAATCCTGCTCCTGCCTGCTAGCTAGTTAGCTAGTATAGTTAGCCTGCGCTGCTAATCTGCTAATAGCTTGGCGTAAATCAGTGTAAATCAATTAACAATCATTTAATTTGTGCTCTGGTGAGTGTAGTAACTTGTAGTAGTAACTTGTAGCACAGTTAGCTTGCGGCCTACCCAAGATGTCCACTTAGTTTCCACAAATATGGTGCATATTGGGAAAGTTTTTAAAGAGAAGCTCTGGAGAATATGTTTATCATGCTACATGCCACAACACCACACACTTGGAGGAATACACAGCATCAGTGACTGGCTCCATCAGCAAGTGCATAGATCAGGGGAGCTCACACTTCTGTGACAAGAGATCTACTTTTTCACATTATTATTATTATTATTATTATTATTATTATTATTGCAAGACCCACCATGTAAATTATGCACATACACTCTAAATCTGGAGTTTGAGAAACTATTTTGAGGTTTGTTTTTATCCAAAAGATGTTATACAATCAGTTTTCATTCAGAGAAATCGCAGAAGTAATCTCCAGCAGCGGTGTGGTGGACGGAGAGGAGGCGAACGATTCTCACCCAGGGCTTATTACCTCCAGGCTACTTATTTGTGTCTCTCTGTGCGTTCAGTGACTGCGATATAGTTGGCGGGGTTTGCAAAACACGTAAACTCGCACACACTTGATAGAGCGAAAGCTGCAAGTCAGGGACGGACCCGTACTGGTTGAGTCGCTTTGGGTTCGTTAAGTATTTGAAAGCGTGCTGAAAAGCATGGACTGAATA